TACCACAGCCCTCTCCGTATATACAGTGTGGTGTGGGCATGTCTTGATACCACAGCCCTCTCCGTATATACAGTGTGGTGTGGGCATGTCTTGATACCACAGCCCTCTCCGTATATACAGTGTGGTGTGGGCATGTCTTGACACCACAGCCCTCTCCGTATATACAGTGTGGTGTGGGCATGTCTTGACACCACAGCCCTCTCCGTATATACATTTTGTACAGTGTGGTGTGGGCATGTCTTGACACCACAGCCCTCTCTGTATATAGTGTGGTGTGGCCATGTCTTGATACCACAGCCATCTTCATATATACAGTGTGGTGTGGGCATGTCTTGATACCACAGCCGTATATACAGTGTGGTGTGGGCATTTCTTGATACCACAGCCCTCTCTGTATATACAGTGTGGTGTGGGCATGTCTTGATACCACAGCCCTCTCCGTATATACAGTGTGGTGTGGGCATGTCTTGATACCACAGCCCTCTCTGTATATACAGTATGGTGTGGGCATGTCTTGATACCACAGCCCTCTCTGTATATACAGTGTGGTGTGGGCATGTCTTGATACCACAGCCCTCTCCGTATATACAGTGTGGTGTGGGCATGTCTTGATACCACAGCCCTCTTCGTATATACAGTGTGGTGTGGGCATGTTTTGATACCACAGACAGTATATATATATATATGTTAATACAAGGTTTCACTAAAGTGAAGTTATGCTATTTACCCACCATTGTTTTGTGTTGTAACTTCTCACTAAATGTAGGAGTCGTACAACAGGAATAAATGCATCATGCCAACAAAACATACTCGTATGCCACCAGTGTATAACAACAAACAGTTAGGATAAAGAAATGTTCATTTACTCACTTGGAATAGATAATACAATATAATGAAATACAACACACACAAAAAAAAGGCATGGGTAAGCTAATAAAAATACAAAGTGTCTTGCTTGGTATAACATTGATAGTTGTAAAGTACATGTATATGTTTGTGTTTTAGGGAAAGAAAGCAGAAAGAAGTTCTGAGGGTGATGTTTCACCACAAAAAAGGGCACGACATACTGATGAGAAAGAGGAAGTTATCACTGTGGAAATGAAACAAAAAGAGGAAGATGAAGTTGTTGACTTCTCTCTAATTAAGGTTTGTACATGTACCAACTAAATACTATTGATGAACTTTTGTTCATTGCAACATTGTTGGTGGTGTTTGTTTTGATTGGTACATTACTAGGAGTACTGGCCAGCACCATCAACAATTTGTTTACAGTATGATTTCTTTCAAACTTGGTATGAAGTACATACATATTCACATCAATCTTATTAGTCCTCACCAGGCACTGATGTGTCAGAACAGAATTATTTTCTATGTTCAACTTTTATATATTAATGATACATCATGTCATAGATATGAGTGCCCATATTGTTTTAATTAATGCTGTTTTTACTATAACTTAGATTTGATAACTAATGGTGACTGTGCCATGCATGGATTGTTTTTTGAGATCTGATTCAGGATGGCCGACTGGTAGCCTATTTGTTCTTTGTCAATATCCATTCTACTGAATCAATTCACTACGTTCAATTACCCACCATAGACTCCAGTCAGTCAAAATGACTATTTTGTACTGTAGGCATTAATCAGCGATTCTGCCGGTGGCAGAGAGATAGAATCTAGGTCAGGGGAAGCCCCATGACCTCATAGATTTTCTTCCATGTCACATAACACATGACCTAGCCTTGTTCATTGCTTAGTGTAGTTAAAATGGATTAGAAGGAAGGAAAGCACTTCCATAAGAGCTCCTCTCCTCCTGGGTCATTGCCCAAACAATCAACTTGGTCTTGCGGGAATTGCCACATAGCAAATGTCACCTTTGTTTAGAATGTGTTTGGCGTTCAGGGTTTTTGCCACAAGTGGATTTACTTTAATTTCAAAGCCACGTTCATGTTATTGAGACTGATCGCGTTATTAGGGCGGCCCTATGGGCGTGAGTGAGTGAGAGAAGTGTTAGTATGGGTGGGAAGTCCTTCTGTTCGACTACCGGTACCTCGGGTGCTGCGGCGTCAAGTGGGAGGCGTGGCAGTGGTGGAACTGAGGTTTCTCAGACACCTGACGGGGGTGGGCTGGCAGTCAGACCTTTGATATGGAGGGGGACCAAGCGGGACAGGACGTTGATTTCGTTTCTCCCCCGCCTCCTCTCTCCCGATCCTTGAATGTCAGTTGGAGCCAGTACCGGAGATTTTTCCCTGAGCACTGCCTCTGCTACGGGTCACCCTCGTTTGATTTCCCGAAGGGACCGACCCGGTTACCATGCATTTGATTGGACACTTTCTGGCAAAGTGAACGGTACGACGATGTCTGTTCCTACTGGTTCAGGCAGTCCCTCTGAGTTCGCTCTCCGGAACGACTCCGTGAACCCGTAGGGGTGATGTGGGAAGTCATCAGTCATAGTGACCCGATGTTCATACCCTCACCCACAATCCTGAAGCAGTCGCTTTCGGTAGGATCATGGCTTGTAGGATCCGTGACGACAGAATGTAAGGCAACACCGACTGCACGGCTCCCCTGGTCCTGCTGATTAATGAATGTGGTGCACAATTTTCAGCTTTTGATATTTCAAGTAGTAATCATCACATTTCAATAAAACTTGGTACATAGATGTCATAGGACACTGCACAGACCTGATAGTTTTTAGTGTAATATCAGTACATATTAATTACCTAATTTGCATAATTAATTAATTATTATTTTTGGGGTAAATATTTGTGCATGTTTATCACCTTATTAGCATAATTAGTTAATTTTCAGCTTTTCGCCTGATAACTCAAGTACTGATCATCATATTTCAATGAGACTTGCTACATAGATCCTCTAGGATTATACAGAGACCTGATTAGTTTAGGGTAAATAATTGTGGATATTAATTACCTAATTCACATAAATAGTTCATTTTTTCCCATGAATGTTGCACTAATATATAAAGAACCACTAATTGGATTTTAATGAAACTTTTATAGAGTATTCATCATTACATTTCAATGAACCTAGGACTATGCAGAGACCCAATTAGTTTTTGGTAAATATTTATGCTTATTAATCACCTAATTAAAATAATTAACACTGATATCTCAATTACTGATCATCACATTTGAATAAAATTTGGTACATAAATGCTCTACAACAATAGACAGGCTCGATTAATTTTGGGTTGAAATTTGTTCATATAAATAATTCA